TCTTATCATTTTTTCGCGTAACTGATAAGAGATAACGACTTGGTGTCGTAGTAAAGTTGTAGTACTCGACCAGAGCTACAACTTTGCCATAGACACCATCTCATTATCTCTTATCAGTTCCTTGAAAAGTGAGAAACTATGAATTCGCGTTTTTCACGTTTTCGCGGCTTTTCGCGTAACTGATCAAAGATAACGACTTGATGTCTACGGCGAAGTTGTAGAGCAGCTTGAGTGCTACAACTTCGTCATAGACACCAAGTCGATATCTCTTATCATAGTCTAGCTATAATATAAAATAGCCATGGGGCCCTGTGGTCCCCCAAGAACAACAGCGTAACATGTTTTGCAGCAGGCTGTATTTTACACATACTCACACATATGCATATGTTTTTTTTTTGATTCGTGTAGAGAAATGTTCAATCTATACAATGAGACTTAACTCCGGTTGGTTTATACACTGTTTAGTACTTTTATTCAACTTTAAAGTTCGCTGGGGGCCCTGGGTGCCCCAAGAACAATCATAGTGTTAAAATAAAAAACCTGATTTTCCATACTTTTCTACATTTTTTTCCGATTTACAGTCTTGCAGTATCCCAATGTGCAATTTTAGTTAAGAAGCAACTTCTTGCGCCCAAAATACAATCTTTTTCTGATTAAATAACTTCTTCGCGCTTTTTTCTTACCTTTTTTCTTCTACAAAACTATGCCAATTCCACCGAAAATATCATTTTCAAGCTCAAAACACCATGCAAAAAGGAAATTGAATAAATTTAACCGTACTTCAAAAGTGTCCAGAAATCAAACACGCATTTCAAGATAAAGATAAAGGATATGTGTTTTTTTTTTTCAAATAAATCGCTCAGAATATGTTGGCAAAAAGCAAAGAAAGAGAAGAGAAAAAAAGAGTCCGAAATTTACAATTTGATTTGGTAGTTGTTTTACTTAACTCGCTGCTTGCTTACTGGATAGCCGAAGCTCCGCCTATTATGCCACATTGATGACGTTGGTACCCAGCGCTCGTATTACACAATCATTTTTTTTCCATTTCAACCAACAAGCAAACACAGATTACACCAAGTGTGTAAAAGCGGCGACGTAGCAATATTATATTGAAAAGAGCGGCGAAAAAATGATCGAACGAAAGAAAACTCGGTGGTTTTTATCGTTATGTTTGTTATTTGGTTTGGTAAAATCTCAATAGTATGTCTTTAAAAAAAAGAAAGTTCAATTGATATTGAATTTGCCATAAATTTGTAGGCTTTTACAATTTGCAACCGTTGAATCCTGGTTGTCCAAAAATAAACGGCACCATTAAAATTGTCATTCATTTTATTTTCTTGCGGTCATAAAGTCGATTGTTAAAACTCTGAAAAAACAACCCATCAGCATGCATTTGAAATGAATAATCGAAACAACGAACCGGCAATACAATGGATTATTTTACATGGTTAACATTCAATTGAGAATATTTTGCGTCCATCACGATGATTTAATGAAAATATACGTATGGCGCCGATTTTACATCGAATAACCATTTTCTATTTAATCTTATTTTATCCCGGTTTGGAAAAGTTTTTGTTTTCTAAAAAAAACACATCCACACTGTTTGTGCTACGCATGAATACCCTGATGCGTAATTTCACATCGTGAGCTTGAGAGAGAGAGAGAGAGAGAGAGAGAGAGAGAGAGAGAGACAGAAATAAAATAACGAAGCCTGGACTTGTGTAGTAGCATTTTACCAATTGACAATGGCCCCACAGAGAAATTGCCGGAACAATTCCTTTTCTGCGTTCAAACGACAAAAATACGAATAGTCATTCTTATCACAACATCGATCGTTCTTCGTTCATGTTGATTTTCATGCATATCAGTGGCCATGTAATATAAGACAATGAAAGATAAGTAAGCATATGTGTTTCTGACTGGTTCACGTTTTCTACCATATTCCACTCATCATCACATCAGCAATTATATCGAGCGCCCTTATTTTGCGACCACACACACACACACACATGCACACAAACACTGATTATGACACTGATGGGCTGATTTTCAAACTGAATTGTATGAATTTATACCACATTGTTGAATTGGTCACACACACAAAAATCTAACCAAGTTAAATCAGGTCCACTACTGAAGTGGCTAACATTATTCAAAACGGTTTCAGTTTTCATGTTTCGACCGATTTTATGCGTCGATTTTAGAGAAAAAGTCATACATTTTTGACGTTGCAGTTGACCATTCGGATAGGAGTTTTTTTTTATTAAATGAAAAACCATGGCAAATTGTCATTATTTTCATTTGGAACATTTTTTTTTCATTTTTTATCTACACTCATTGAAAGTGACATCATTTTTGTGTAAACTCCTGTAAAATGTTGGTCATTCTTCATTTGATATGATTTTAATTGAAATTATCTGGGTTCAATTCACCCGACCAGTATTTGTTGAACAAATCAGATTCAGTTCTGTATGGATTATGGCATAAAAATACCGCGTAATTTCCCATGAATTATAATCTCCAATTAAATCAACCGAAAAAATGTTCACAAAACATGTTCAAAGCAAAGCAACATCAAAGTTTCAAATTTTCGTCCGATTCTGTTCCTAAATTTTCATTTAGCATGCTAGACAAGAGAAAATCATTTGCATATTCATAACAGCGTGAATCATGTCCCTTCATAATTGTTCATCACTTTCAGTTATTCCACTCTTACGGAATCGTTTAAAATGCGTGTACAAATCGCTTGCAATATTTCGGATTTTTGAGTGGGCAACGCTTGTAGTCCCGATATATTTGGACAGAATCATTTCAAGTAGCACTCACAACCGATGGTATTTATCATTAGTGCGACAACTCGTTGTAACACGCTGTAACACGCGCATCGAGGTATTTCTAGAGTCGAGAGAAAAAAAACAAGAAAAAAAACAAGAAAAAAAACTGATAAATATCGATGTTTATGTTTAGCAACGATTCGTCACGCGAAAATTAGTTCAGTTGGAACCAACTAACGGTCACAATTCGTGTACACAGATAAAATGCTGATGGCAACGTAGCAAAACACTTTCAGATGAGAATTTCAATTCTCAGCAGACGCGCAAATGGATTAACCGTAAAGAAAAAAAGGCACAATTGAAAAGAAAACATGGTGGCGAAGAGTGAGTGAGTGAGATTCATGTACAAAAACACACAGACCAGAGGCGAAGAGAGCGAACGAGAGAAGAGAAAGCGAGAGAATGAGTGAGAGAGAGAGAGAGTTAGCGCAAAAGACAATCAGTCTGCGTTTGCGGACAGTGTTGAATCGGATGAAAAATCGGTGGCTGATGAGTGTGTTTGTGTGTGTGTGTGTGTGTTTGAGTCGGCAAACGAATGCAAAAGGGAATGATATTTAATATATTCAAACGGTCCATTTTCGAAATTGGCCATTGTTGGCCGGAAATAAGGATAATATCAAATAGCTTTTACTTCTTTGATTGTTTGAAAATTGATGCCACTCAGAATGTCAGTACCACGCACGAACTACATCGTACTTGTTGGTATTTTTTTCCCTCACTCTCTCTCACTTCCCCGAAAACAGCTTCTATCTGTTCAATGATGGACTTTTGTATTTTACATTTCCCATCATCACATGCACTCACTCTCTGTCTCCCTCCCTCGCTTGTTCTATATCTCTTTTTCGTTTTGTGTACTTCCATCTTGCCCGCTCTCGCAAGCACACGGTTATCGTACACATCACCCAGAATGGGACCACAGCAGATGAAGTAGAACGCTGAAATATCATTTCGATGTACTTTATGAAATCGTACACCGACCGTGATTGATTTGGCTATGTAAATGATTTGCAATGTTGATGTTAACCGAATGAGAAAAAAAAACAATCCTCTCAACCGTGCGTTGTGTTGATGGAAATTTCTCGGCTTTACACTCTACATCATTGGCATCGGTTGTTTTGGGGATGAGAAAATGAGAACAATAACAAAATGGAAAAATTCCAATTTAAAATTCACTTAAATGACTGTAATCATTTATTTGATGTAAAAATTCCCGTAGTCATTTGTCACTTTATCCGAATTTGTTACATTCGATTTTGTTTGCGTACATATTGTGAGAGTGAACATTATTGCTAATTAGAACTGCAACAGTGTGAGTGAGAGCAAAATATACCGAACGGATTAACTAACAAACGAAACGTGCACGCGTACACAGACACACACACACACACAGCGCACACAGAACGATGCGTGCATCACTTGGCCAACAACGATGCGATGGACAAAGTCCTAAAACCAAATACAATAACAAATTTTGACAAATTAACGGTAAAATATTGCCGTCATTAGACGCAATTGGCAACAGGCTCAAAGGCTGAAATCCGATGCACACCAAATCAATCGTGTTTTGTCTTTCGATCGTATCGAATGTCGCGTTCAATGATTTTTTGTTTTACATTTTTTTTTCTTTGTTGAAAACCATTTGGCAAATTACGAATTTATGCTGGCATAAAGTATATTCGTGTTGTTAAAAAGGGAAAAAAAACATTTTATTCTTGTTTTGACTACGACAAAAAAAATCATTTTCAAAGAGTTTTTTTGTTTTGTTCTTTTCGTTAATTATTTTGTGTTTCGTTAAATTTGACATCGGATACAATCCAACACCGTATTTCGTTCTTGTTTTTATTTTTCTTCGTTTGTGTTTCAACTGAAAATGGCAGCCGCTCGACCGAATCGAATGCACCGAAACCATCGTGCAATTGCGCCACATCGCTCATTTTTGCTGGAAGATTTTCGTGAAAATCGCTATCCAAATTTACAATTGAACGAAATTGTGGCGCACGTAGTCGAATTTGCCAAAGACCATGACGGATCGAAATTTATTCAACGCAAAATGGACGAGGCAACAGATACACGCAAAGAAGCGCTGTTTCGTGAAATGCAACCACATTTGCTGATGCTCATGAAAGATACGTTTGGAAATTTTGTGGTGCAAAAATTCTTTGACATCGGCACCCAACCACAGCGACAAGAGTTGCTCCGATTGATTCAAACCGATTTTATGGCGCTTAGCATGCATAAATATGGTTGCCGTGTGGTTCAAACGGCCATACAAAAATCCACACTACCCGAACAAATTTTCATCATGCAATTTGCATCGCCCAGCGATTTCGTTCAATTGGCCCGAAACGCCAACGGGAATCATGTGATTCAGAAGTGTTTCCATTATGTGCCACAAATGCTTCAGGTAAACGAAATAAAAATGGCTTTAACATTTGCAGTGAGAGGTGTGAATGCTAATCGGCATGCATTTTTTTCAGGACTATCTGTTCGAACAGTTAAAGTTCCAAATTTTTGATTTGTGTTTGGATCTGTACGGCTGCCGTGTCATTCAATGCGTTTTGATTAAAGGAACATCGAATCATCGACGCGACATTTTCCACGAGCTCGTCAAAAATCCCCTCCAATTGATGCGATTGATTCAAGATCGCTATGGCAATTATGTCATTCAACACGCAGTCCGTATGTAGCATTTAATTTTTGATAGGATTAACGCATGATACCTGATGCAATTCGACTTAATCCGTGTATTATTTTTTTTCTTCTCTGACAGAATACTGTGCACCGGATGAAAAAGCCCGATTGGTCGAATTCATCGTAACACACGTGGTTCTGTTGGCGCAACAGAAGTACTCATCGAACGTCGTCGAAAAGTGTTTGGCCAATGCGTCACAGACAATGCAAGATCATGCAATGTTCATCATTTGCAATCGCCAATCAGAGTAAGTGCCATTTCAAATTGACACATTTTTTCAACGTTACAATTTGTACTGGATTTTCTTCACTGCTGTTTGATTTTTGTTTTTCTGTCGTTTTGTTCTACATTTACAGGGCTGTGAAAGCATTGTGCATCGATGCATATGCCAATTACGTCATACAGAAACTGATTGAATGCGTATCCCCATTACTGGTGGCAAATCTGTATGAACGTGTCCAGCCACATTTCAAAGAGATGCAACGTCATGTTTGCGGCCGTAAAATCATCGAAATGCTGCAGCAGAATGGATATCCATAGAGAGAAAAAAGAAATCTGCCTTACCTATTACTTAACCACCAAAAATCCTGATTTCATTTTGTAAATATGACCTTTGATTGTTTCATTTTATGCATGTGTGTAGTCGATACACATACCTGTTAATATTTTGTACACGTTTGAAAGAATAACCAAACCAGAAAAAAACCGACGACAATTTCTGCATGCAATTGTCATATTCAAAACAATCTTCGATTGTTCAACACAAATTTACATGCAAAAAATGTAATGCAGCTCACTTTTTTTTTTTAATATTTTCGCCCACCTTTGTTACCGTTTTGCATATAATCGATGAAATGTCGAAGTTCTGAAATCAGGATTAATACATTGAATAAAGAAAATCTCTATATTTGTTTTTGGTTATTTCTTTTGGTGTGAATTGACGATCGACATTTGGACATTGAAAATATAAATCATCCAAGGTAAAATGACTGCTTTTCAAAAGGTTTTTGAAGAAAATTCTTCTATTTTTTAAAGAAATCACTTCTAATTCGAATGTTGTTCGTTTGGAAGCTTCTAATTCTGTTAAAAAAAACGCATCTTTTTATCCTCTTTCTTTTTCAATCGAAAAATTGTTCCTTTCTTCTCTAAAAAGGCAAGAAAATATGTGATGATAAAAGAAAATCCTTGCTGATGAGCCCTAAATCAATTTAGATCTTTAAAACTCGCATCAAAACTTAAGAAATATAGCATTGCTCAAGTACATTTAGCCAAACAAATGCCTGAATTTTGTATATATTCATTAACTTTCATGGTTGTCAATTCATATCTGCAGTTGCCGAATGTCTCATGTTTGTTTCATCGCACATTCGAAATTTCGCTTTCAATGCTGAACGGGTGGCATATTGAAAATTTCTTGGAAATTCATTGTATGGAATTGTTCCATAAATTCGTTGTACTTTGAAAATTGAAAATTGAATTTATTTGACAGCAGCAGCACACACACACACAACCTTCGCATATGTTGGTAAACTGCTTGAATTCGATTAGAAACAGTGTGATGACACATATGATGGGAAGAAAGGAAAGAGCATATATGCACACAAAAAAAAAGTGATGCCATTGACAACTTGCTTGACACATTTACTGCGTCTAAATTGAATATCAATTGCTTCTTAATTAGGCTGAAACCAGATTATGCAATCCCCACAAGGACAGCCCCAGCTCACAAGCGCATTCACACATTGCATATGTTTGCGTAATAGAAAGTTCGAAAAATATTTGGCTAATTTATTTGGAAAATGTAATGGTATTGATTGCTGTATTAAATGAAAGTCAATAGGATCAAATTACATGTTTCAAATTACGACTGACGTAAATTGTTATTCATCCAAATCAGTTGATTGTTTGTTCAACCGACTGCGTTCGTGTGTTTTTTTTCCTGTTCACTTTTTCGACATCTTGAACTTGTCTAAGCAACGCACCATAAAGCTGAGAATGGGTCACATTCGTTCATACTTAAAACCAAAAGAATCTCGGCTGGTGAATTTAAATCTCTCGAACGACTTTGGCACATCGGAATAATTCATTGGTAGGAAAAAAGAAAGTGAGCGAAAAACTTGTTGAGTCGGATTTTTTTCTTTTGTGCTTCCCGAATTACCTTCATACTCACAGTAGCACGAATATCCGTATCGGCAACATAAAAAAAAAAACTTAAGACATGGAATTGCCAGAGCCACGAAAAGAAAAACTGACTGACGAAAGAGAAATCATTCCTAAAACAAAACGATGAAGTAGATGGTTTTTACAGGAAAAGAATGAAAAGGCATGAAGAGAAGAAGGAAAAAAACTGCACTGCTGATGAAATAAGGGTGAAAAACTAGCGGGTGAACATGTAAAACGTGTTTTTTATGTCATTGGGTGTAATTGTGCGCTGCAACGAAGTAGGTGAAAGAGAGAAGGAGAAAGGGAGATGGAAAAGAAAAAAATAAGATACGAATAAAAAAGTGTGCATTTCGACTTAAGTGCTTTCGAGACATTGATAATGATAGACTTCGCATTTGTTGTTGTACTATATGAAAATGTTCCAATAAATCTTTCTTTTTTCTCCTTTTGTTGACTGAACGGATTGTTATTAAGTTGATTTATTCTCTTCTTCTTTTTTTCGACTCATTCGTTACATATGATATGATTTCTACCTCAATGGTATAAACCTAATTCGTAATACGAATTTCGTATGATGTGTGATGTTTTGCCACTTCGTGAGAGTGCGTATCAAATCGGTTGATTTAATCTGGGGCTATTCCGCAGAAGTAACAGTAACCTGTTGATTAAATTCATCATTCGTTGAGTTTGTACCATCACCCGCCCCAGCACATGCAATATTGCTATTTCAGTTCCATTCCCATTTCTCCCCAAGTAACTACATGCACAGACAGATGGGGTTTGGTGTGTACATAAAAACCGTAAACTAACATTATATTATGTACGTGTCAAACAAGCCATAAAACATCTACGAAATGGAAGTCAGTGGCTGCTGTTGCTGTGTACGACACTCACCACACTATCATTTGGGCCACACTGTTCCGTGGTGCGATAGTG